ATGGTCCCAGGACTGGGACTTGGGGCTGTCCTGGAGGAGAAAAGTTGAATTATTATGACCAAAGCAAACAGACTGGGGTGTCACCCATGTCTTTAGGGGGAAAAGTGATATACGTATACTCAATAGGGAATGCGAAAGCCCAGCATTCCTTCCCAGGAACTGCTGATCTGAAAGGGAATGCTAGTTCAATCCCTGGCACAGCCAGCCCTCACCCAGCCTCCCACCCAGCCTCACCCAGAAACCTTGCCTGTCAGGAGCCCCCACAGGAGAAGGTAAGCTCCGTTCTCCAAGCACACACTCTCTCTCTCTCTCCCCTTCCCCCCTTCTCCTCTCTCTCTCTTTCTCCTTCTCCTCTCTCTCTCTTTCTTTTGTTTTTTGTGGCTGGCCAGTTTGGCAATCCAGACCCTTGACCTTGGTGTTGTCAGCACTGTGTTCTATCAACTGGGCTAACTGGCCAGCCTCTGCACTTTCTTCTTGTGACTACCTTTCTATAAAGCTCTATCTTTGGACAAGTGTAGTGATTCAGTGCATAATTAAAAAACAAACTTGCCCCAAAAGAGTATTTACAATTTAAGTAGACATTTGTGTACAAGCAATGACTCATGTTTTGTTGGATTTCCAAAAATAGACAATATGACTTTGTTGAAAGATTTCTGGCCTCTAATGTACTTTAATCAGTACATTACCACCTCTAAATTGAGGCAGCTGTGTAGGTGCTGCCCAAAAGAAAGACATAGTTTGCTTCAACTATGGACTGTAGATTCATTGCTACCACAAAGTCAAAAGGTACAAACTTGTGAAAATATGTGCCACACATAGGAAAAAGTGTTAATTCCCTTAATATATAGAGGTCTTACAAATCAATAAGACCAATAACCTAATAGAATAATGAGCAAAGGAAATCAGCAGATCACAAAAGTTAATATAAATAGCTTTTAAATGTATAAAGTGATGTGTAATCTCATTTATAATAAAATAAATGTAAATTAAAACAGATATTACTTTCACATTTAAAATTCCAGAGATCAGAAGGTTTGATTATGCAGTCTCAGTGAGGATGTAGGAGCATGGCCACTGATATACATTTTTGATAGGAATGTAAATTCGTGTAACCTCTTTGTAAGTGATTTGATAATATCAATCAAAATTGAAAGTTTACATACCCTGTTACAGTTATCTATTGTCACGTAACAAACTACCCCAAAACTTAGTGGCTTACACTTTTATAATAATTTTGTTCATGTTTTTGAGGGTCAAGAGTTCAGGAAAGTCTAGGTTGGGCAGTTCTTCTCTGATCCATATGGTGTCAGTGGGGTGGCACAAACTAGAAGATCCATTTCCAAGGTGGCTTGCTTGCTTACACCTCTGATACCTCGGTGCTTCTTGGCCTCTCTTCCTCCTCTCCACATGCTATGTCATACTCCTGGGCCTCTCCATATGGCTTATATTTCTCATTGTATAGTGGTCTCAATAGTTTTACTGCCAAGAGGCAGGAAGTAGAAGCTACCAGGCCAGTTAAAGCTTATGCCCAGAAATGGTTCAACATAACTTCTGCTATATTTTAATGGTCAAATCAGTTACTGTTGCCCGTAACCTCATATCCAGGGGATTGGAGATATAGACCCCACCTCTTCTTGATGGAGTAGTGGCAAAGACACACTGCAGAGAAGCATATGCGGTAGAAGATGTTTTTGTGATTATCTTTAGAGAGTACAACCTACTACCTACACTTTGAGCCATCAATTCCTCATTTAGGAATTTATCCTATAAGTAGACTTACAAATGTGAGTAAAAATACATAACAAAGGGTATTCATTACTAAATATGTAATAGCAAAAGACTAGATGAACCTAAATGTCTATCAACAAGAGATTGTGTTAAATAGCCCAATTTATTCGTGCCCATGCCTGCTAAAAAACAAAACAAAAAAACAGCTCTATGCACTGATATTGAATGCGGTCCAAGATATACCTTCGAATAAAAAATTAAGTCACAGAACACCTTCATAAGATACATATGGAAAGAAAGGTTTCTACAAGCCCCTTACAAGAAACTCCTCAAACCATATATGAAACTTAGCCCACATGTTGTCCTGTTGAGAACACACAGGAGGAGGAAGTCCCACTTGGGGTCTTGCTGCTGCTCACTTCTCATTTTCCCACTCACTTCCTAGTTCTCAATCTGAAGTCCAAATCCTGCTCTCCTAGGAGGGCTGCATGGACATCCATGTCTTGCAGTTCTTTTCATTGGTCATATTCACATCAGAGTGCGGCCTTTGGAACCAGATATTATGGGGTTAAATTTTGCCCCTGCTGCTTACAAGCTACCTGACCTTGACAAGATATTTAAGTCTTAGCTTTCTCATTTATAAAATGGTATTGTAACGATGATACATACTTCTCAGGAATAACAGGGTTAAAAATAAGTAGAGCACTTAGCACAGTGACTGGCACCAAAGAAGTGGTGTTAGGTATCCTACCCATTGTCACCTCACATCAACCAAATCCAACAGCAAGAAACTACAGAGACTTGTGAGGTGAGGAGTTGCTTTGGTATGGTGTCATCAGTTCAGTTACAAGTGAAAAACCACATGGAATGGAGGCCACCACCTCCCACCCATCAGCTCATTGATATAGGGCCTGGCCAGGAATAGCACAGTCTGTGGCTCTAACCCTGGCTAAGCCCAAAGACCTAGGGGGCTCTCCCAGGCCTGAGAAAGTACTGCATACTAAAGGGCACAGACATCTTTTTATGTAGTAGAAAAATATATGAAAGTTTCCATCCTCTCCATCCATTCTTTCCACCCCCACCTCCACACACACAACCACCATAACTAAGGGAGACTCCAGCTTTGCAGCAGTCTCTTCCCCATCTCCCCAGCCAAGATTCTTTGGGCTTTTGTAATAGATAGGAAGTGTCAATGCCCTCCAGGCAAACACCACCAGGAACATACCTGTAGTTGAAAAAGTTGGGTTCATTGCTTGTTGCAGTAAGAGAGAACACACAGCATGGCAAATCATGGGGCATCTCAGGAAGAGGGTGTTAGAAGGGCCTTATAGAATTTGGGCTCGTGTTAGTGGTTTTTGAGGTTTGAAGAAGCAGGACTTCTCTGTGTTGGATGCCATCAGAAAGCAAGAGTAATTATATGATTGGGTATATTAATCTTATCTAGAAACAGGAACACCTAGAGTTAGGCTAAAACTGCAATTGGTTAAGAAGCAGTATTCACTCACATTAGCCAGGAAAGAAAGATGTTTGATCGTTTTTGTGACTTGGAAAATGTTTTTGTCTGTGTCAGAAGTGATTGCAGAGTTCTCTTATTTTTGTCTTGATCTTGCATGGTTACAGAATGGCCTTGTCTCGTGCTGATATCTTTTGAAATGGTTTATGTTCAACAAGACAACATGAGGACCTTGCTGTGAATGTCAGGTCAGCTCCTAGCAGCACCAAGATCTAGCTGGTAGTACCAGGCCAACTTCCACATGTCAGGAAGAGAAAGAGCAGCTAAGAGAGAGGCAGGGTTGGCAGGATTTCAGTCTTCTGGGTTCTTAAGCAGAGAGTGCTGTAGTCTCTGCCTAAGAGAAGTAAGGGGGCAGGAGGGTAGTGTAGGTTAATAAGAATTGCTATGGACACTGTGTCCCCTTCATGGTTTTCAAGAAATATACATAAAAAAAAACTTGAGCAATTTTTAAGTGGCTTTTTGATTGCTGGGCTGTGTTCCTTCTATTGTGATACTGCTCTGAGGCCATGTGGATCAGGGTCTTGAAAAGGCTGGCTTTAAAAGCCAAGAGGTTCTGAGCCACTGTCTTAGGGCCCAGAGCTCCAGCTCCAGGTGGAGCTGATAACTGAGTCTGGATGGTGTTTGAAGGAGGAGGAGGGCCAGGAGGACACCTCTCTTAGAAGCCAGGCTCAGGTGCCTGCTGCCTCCACCCTCAAAGAGAACCCAAGAAGACAGAGTTCCTCAGGCTCCCAATGCCCCCAGGAAGTGGCAGCCTTGACCCTCCACCAGAGTTCTGCGTCCCAGTTGTTACCAACAACAACTAGGGATGCCATGATGGGAGGACACAGTCCCTGCCCAGAGGCATGCCGATCCTGTGGGAGAGTGAAGGCAGCTGAGGACAATGGCAGAGAGACCTCAGAGCTGGGTGGGCTCAGGAAAAGGCCTCCTCCCAGGAATGGGCAGAGTTGGTATTCACAGGAGAGAGTTTTAGAGAGCGGGGGCAGGGGAGCCTGAGGGCACAGCAAGGAGGAGAGCAGGAGGACAGATGCAAGCAGAGCATTCTTTGGAGCATGGAGGTCTGCAAAGATAAAGCCCTTGAGAGCCAGACTCCAGCCCTAGGGGGTATGTATATGTCTAGCACCCAAAGGACCCACTTAAGACAGCTGGGGTGAACATACAAGTCCGCAGCACCCCCACCCCAGGTAGCAGGCCAGGAGGGCCTAGACTAAATGAAAGGAGACAAGAACTGGAAGAATGTTGGAAATGGGGGTTCTGGAGGGAAAGCTGGTCAAGGGGCATGTAACTTAGAGGGACAGGATGGAGGCACAAGCCCCAGGTGGGCCTGTTTTCTTGGCAGAGCTTGAGAGGAAAGGGAGTGGCCATCTGGCGCCCTGAGGGCCCGTCCTGGACCTCCCCACGAGAGGGGTGGTCAAGTCCCCAGGGACGCGGGACCCCCAGGAACCCGGGCCGCCCAGCACAGGCGCTGAGGATGCGCCTGGACAGGTCCCGCTGGAGGCAGGAGGGCTGTCGCCTTGGTTGCCTTCCCTTCCCCTTTGCTGTCGTTTCTCCCGCCTGGGGCAAGAGGCCTGTGACCTGCAGGGGAAAAAATTGTCCACCCCCCCGGGCCTGGAACTAGGCTCTCGACCAGACACTACGAAGGGGTGGCGGCTCCTGGGACAGCACTGCCCCCACCCCCCATGGCCGGACGTGGCGCCTCCCCTGCAGCGGCCGGAGCCTGGAGGTGGGGTTGGAGCCGGAGCCCGGGACTCTGATGTCACCGTGCGGCTGCGGGCGCCCAGGAGCGCGTTTCTGGCTGGAGTCTCAGGTACGCGCGTCCCAGGCTGGAGCCTCAGGGACCGGGAGCGTGGGGCGGGCGGCAGGATCCGCAGACACGCTCCCCCAGAGGAGACCGGGGTGGGGGTGATGCGGGGCCCCGCAAGGCAGAGCGAGTGCGGTGGCGAGGAGGCGGGGTGGGGGTGGGGTGGTCTGTGTGTCATTCTGTCTGGTTGCGCAGGTCGAGTTGGGTCTCTGTGCGCCTTTACTCTTTGCAGTGGTGTGGGGAGGAGAGAGACCCACACGGCTAGCAGAACTGCTGGGGGGCTCTTCGTCTGTTCAAAGCTCATACGGTGGGGTCTTCCTTCACGACATCCCCCCACTCCCCACCTCCCGCCCTTCGGTTGCAGAGCAGCTGTAGAATCGGGGTCCTCCCGCCCAGGATCGCGCTGTCCCCCTGCACGCGATTTGAGCCCTCCATCCCCGACAGTGAACCCAACAGGAAAGGCGAGAAATGCGCCGGCCAGCGGCCATCCGCTCTCCCGGCGTTCCCGGGGCCCCGCTTTCCCGCCGCACCGTGTGACTCTGCCGCCCCCTTTGGTCACTAGGGCCTGCGCTTCTCTCCTCCCTTGAGCGCCTCGGCTCCCAGAGCTTGAAGCCCCAGGTAGGTGGTCCGTCCACGCCCGCAGCCGCCTGTCCGCAGGTGCCCTCAGCATCCTGCGTTTCCTGCGCACCGCAGCAAGCTGGAGTCTCTGGAGACTCCGCATCTGGGCTGCAGTGGCCGGCGAGCCCCGTAAACCAGCGGCTCACTCGCAGTGTGGATGCTGTGTGGAATGCGCTGTTGGTTTGTACAAGCCAGGAGAGTGAGGGGATGCTCAGACAGGGAGAGCCGTGGAACTTTCCAGAACGCCCTCCCCGCCAGAACTAGCTTGGAGTGCTGGGACCCAGGAACTCAGTCTGGCAGGAAATCTTCTGTGCAGACAATGCTCCCACGAGTGAGCCCAGTACTGAGGGAAGACCAGCTGGGAGGGGTGGCACGGACACTCCCTCCACAGAGAGGGCAGATGTGAGGCGGCCTTTAAGAGAGGTACGATTTAATTCCTGATCATGTGCTGCATTTGAGGCTGCCCATTCTCCTGTGCCTCGCCAGTCACCTTACCTGGATCCGCTTCCGTTGTCTCGGTGTGATTTTATCCACTGGCAACTGTTCATCTATTTCCCCAACAGCCCTTAACTAAAAACCTAGATCAGCCAGTTTGCCTGGTCCACCTTCTCTGCCAAGCTCCAGACCCACAGACACCACAAGCCCACAGGCCCCAGACTGAACGAGCAATGGACCCTTTGGCCAGTCCCCAGTCCCAGCCTCCGGACTGGTGGCTCCACCTCCCAGACCCCTAACTCTGAACACTGAATTCATTTTTGTCTCCTCTTCCTCTCTTGTTCCTTCATTCAGGTGATAAGTATATTGAATGTTCCCCCCTCCCCCAAGACCCTAGTCTGGTGTGGGGGAAGGGGGACTCTACTCTGGCGAGGCTTGACAAAATGCCTGCAGAGCTCTTTGAGCTCCAGCCTCTGGACTTCTTCCGTTCAGCAGCGGGCACAGGTTCTGCAGCCCAGCCCACAGCTGACACTGGTGCTGAGGCTGGGGACCCTAGGACATGGCTACCCCCAGCCACAAGGGCTGGCTGGACTGCAAGAGGCTCCGTGCCACCAGACAAGTGTGAAAACCCCTGCTCTCTTTGCTGTGGCCCCAAAACACTTACTGAAGCAGCTGGGCCTTCCTGGCATAGCAGGTTCTGCAAAGGGTACAATGTGAGCATGCTGCATGGACATAACCTGCTTGGGCCACCAATGGAAAAGCATCCTTGAGACAAGTTAGGGTCAATAAGAAAACAGTACTTTACACACATTCGTATTGTCCATTTAAGCAGTTTTTATTTGGGGTATTCAAAATCCTTGGTTAACACAATAATTCACAAAGAAGATTTTCAAGATAGATTGAAAATCTATTTTAAGACAGATTTGAGGAAACATCTTTGTCACACCTGATTGTAGATGCAGCAAGCCAACATGGGCAGGCATGGGTGGCATGACCCAGGGTAAACAGTGCTCCCAAACTGGGCTCAGAAGGACTAGGAAGAGAGAGGGCTGGTGTCTGAGCAGCCAAGGTGGACTTCCTAGAGGAGTTGACTATCCTCCCAGGAGCTGCTACTGAGAGTCCTCCTGAAGTCTAAAGAGTAGAAACCCTTTGGAAAAGAGGTCCCCAAGCCTGAATGTGAGGACCAAACTGCAGGGCTGGGCTTAGTGTCATGAAGATGCCCCGAGATGGGTGATGTTAAGATGTTCTGGCCTCAGGTCTGCTGACAACCCTTCCTCAAAATGTTGCACATACTGCCTCTCCCTTTTAGGAAATGCCATATCCTTCCAACACTAACCCCTCTACCTGCTCTCACCAGCCATCTGTAGCATTCTGGGCTTAGGGAAGTGGGTAGAGGGAGACTCTGAGCTCCAAATAGTGTCTTGAAGGCTCATGTGAGCCTGCTTTTTAGTCCCCACCCCAGCTGCATGCCACCCTACTTGGCATTCCCCACCAAGCAGCTCAGAGAAGGCAAGTCCCCTGCTTCCAAGTTTCTACAGTTCACAGGAAGCCCCAGGTTCCCAAACGTCAAAGCTGCTGTCACTCTGTCCCAGGTACCCCACCTAACTTTCCCCCTTGCTCTCTCTCCCGGCACCTGGGAAGTGTATATTTTCCACCAGTTCTGTTCCAAGCTGTACTTGCTCTGTTTGTTCCTGATAATGCATGAGTAACTTGGTCAGTATCCATGGCGACAAGTGCCTCAACCTTTCTGTCCCCTTTCCCAGAAAAGGCTAATAAAGAAGGGAGAAGGGTGGGCAGAAGCTAAGGAGCCCTCTTCCTTCTCTACCAAGGCCACCCCTACATCTACCTCCTGCAAGTCTGTTTCTTCCCTTGCTGTTCAACAGGTATTCACTTAACACTGATAACATGTTAAGTACAGTGTACATGTTAAGTACACTGATAACATGAAGGTACAGTGGTGAATAAGAGCAGGGCTTATCCTCAGGAAGCTCAGGGGTAGGAAGAGGAGGAGGAAATCACATGCAAGTGGACAATTACAGTGCAGCGTAATGAGTGCTGTGATGGGGGGAGCTCAGGGCACAAAGGTCAGGAAACCCCTAAGCTGAGTCCTATAGGAGAAGCAAGAATATCACGGCAAAGAGGGGGGCTGAGTTGGTCATTCCTAGACAAAAGGCAGCATCCAGAAGCAGGGACCAGGTTATTCTGGAAACTGCCAATATTTTGTGGGGAGGAGGAGTGACTGTTTCCCACAGTGGAATCTGGGCCTTGTTGGAGGAGTCAGGCAGTTGGGGGGTGGGGTCATGGTAAACTGGCTTTCTGCAGGGTTTGCTTCTAGGAAATTGATTCTGGCTGCAGTGAGCTTGGAAGCAGGCCCAGATTCCAGGCAGAACTCTGCCACTTACCAGCTGTTCACCCCTGGGCAAATTATTTCCTCCTCAGAACTTCAGTGTCCTCATCTGTAAAATGCAGACAGCAGTTGTGAGGATCTAGATAAATATTTATAAGCATCTGGAACATAACAGGCATGGAGGGAGGGAGGAAGACTGTGAAGCTGCCCCTGCCCCCTGACCTGGGTCTCCCCACCTCCTTTCCTGGTTCCCCTGTGATCGCAGAGCATTCTTGACCATTGTTTATCAGGGAAAGATCACACAGAGAAGCTAACAGAGCAGCCAGGAAGCAGCGTGGGTGTGACAGGGTTGGGGAGGGAAGGAACGTGGGTACATTCTCAGCGCTCCAGGAGGTACCAAGGTAGAGGCCGCCTGCTGGGCTAGATGCCAATTCCTTCCCCTGAGCTGAGGCCCTCAACTTCCAGAGTTGCTTCCTAGGACTGGTCCTGCTGCCCATGCCATCCCTGACCCCAAGTTGACTCTGCCAAAATGGGCGGGGCAGAGAATGCCAGCGCTAAGGACGGTGTGAGCAGGGCAGGGAGCAGGCCTGTAAACTCCTGGTTCTGCGTGGTGGGAAGGCCAGCAGGTCGTCCTAAGCCTTACCAGGAGCTCCTTACCCACCAGGCCATCTATATTTTTGCAGGACCTACGGAGCCAGCCAGCCTTAGCCCCCATTTGTGCAGCCATGGAGGCCCTGGGTCCTGGAGGCGACCGCGTCTCCCCGGCCTCTTCCACTCGCAACCTGGACCGGAGGCGGCTGTCCACGCGCACCGACTCGGCCTACAGTTCTTTCTCCGCGGCCTCCAGTGGCCCTGAGCCGCGCACTCGGTCTCCTGGGACCGACCTCCTTCCTTACTTTGACTGGGCCTACGTGCGCGTGGTTTGGGGTGGCCCGGCCCCCGCCCGGCCAGACGCTGTCCCTCGAACATCCCCGCGGCCCCAGCCAGCGGTCGCTGCACGTACTGGGCTGCAGCCCCCAGAGGGCCAGGGG